TATGCTATCGCAAACGTGCCGTACCTTGACTGTTACCGTATGTTAACACATAGCCATACAGCGACGAGCTTATATAATTGAGCCAATTCATGATAATTTAAGCCAATCAGCGATTAGTTTACATCGATTGTTTACATCGTGCCCGCTGATCTAACCTGCGAACGGGCATACTTTAGCCTCGTCAGGCCTCGTGTATAAATCGTGTTTTATATTCTTTCAAAAATATCTTGATATTTTTATCAATTTTTCTTGAATTGGGATCAATTTATCTACTTGCGATATTATTCCGAAGTTATTTATCAACATGGAATCTGATCCTCATCTGGTAAGTAGTCAAATACCACATATTATATATTTAAATACCAAATTTGTGCAAATATATGTCCCACATATTTAATTATAATACATGAGTTCGCCAGTTCGGCAGATATTTACTATACTATCTATAGTTAATATTGCCGTATCTTCGGCGTAGAGTTTACAAGGAATGCACTCTGGAATTTTTTTATTAATATGTTACACTGTATAAAATATTGGATATTTGCGAGAATATTTTAAGCCATTTGTCAACATAGTTCACAAAACGATTTATACAGTATTAAAAAAATCCTTCTGTGACTTCTGTAATATTTTAAACAGTGAAAACATTCTCAGGAGATATTGAATTAAATCCTGGTCCTGTATTTCTGTATATTGACTCCATAACTCTGTTCAAAACAACATTCCAACTATAAAGCTGTCATCAAATGTAGTGTTAGAGCAAAGGTTGAAGATGTTATCAGTTAAAATACTTATACATTTTGGTTTTACACATTAGAGTTAATTAAACAAAATTTTTACCAACATTTTCAAATAAAAGAATCCTCACCCTCCCGAGCCTCATTACATTGTCATTTTGCTTTCGAACATAAATATTTTTCTTTAGAGATTAATACAAGAATGAAGAATAAATGTACTGGATATTGGCTGGATAATTTTGTCAGAACAACCAACTTGCAAGACAATCTTACCTAAATTCATTAGTATGGAAAATAACTTAACAGCTACAATGAATAATCATATCAGTATTATATGGTGGATTTGATCAATGGCACACAATGTACAAAACTAAACTTGTGATACCTTCTACTCAAACTGATAATCTTCCACAACACAATTGTTTTTGTGTGAATGTTCTGTACGTGTTAAACCGAACAGTGTGGTATATCATTAACTGTGCACAGAACTGGAATTTAATTATATACTTCACTCATGACCTTCGAAACATTCTCAATTAATCAGTGGTCTTCGACATGTTCACCAAATATTTTATGTATGTTACTCAACAGTTAACATTGGCAAGTGTAAACAACAAGTGACATAACTTTTGCTTCATATGATTACAATAAAGTTTTGAAAATTTGATGAGTATGGATTGAATTGATAGGTGACAGTTTACTAAATAGCCGGCTGTATAGACACTTTGAATATTGTTTGCATGAAATTTTTATTTTCTGACTGCATAATCATCTGTTACAATCATAATCACTTTATAAAGTTAGTTAAATTTTCTTGGTGCGGGGGTGGGGGGGGGAGCACTTGCCCTGCCGCCCTCTCCGCTGTGTACAGCCCTGTTTTAAATCTTATCTGCTATTATAATAAGTGATGAAATATTTCAATTGTCCCATGTCATCTTCATTATTCAGTTTCTTTCAAGAAAATACAAAATGTGAATAAAGTTTTTTTCGGAGATACATGTACGCGTTGCGTACCTATTTTTAGTTTTGCTATGGCATCGCGAAGCAAATCGTTCACCTCTCTACACGTGGACGAAGAAGAACAACGTGAAGTGATGGATATATGGTGCACCAGTGGGTTACGCATGGTTGCGAAGGGATCCATCGATAACGCGCGGAGGCCTGGACGCGGATCAATGATGCGTCCGACTATCAATGAGGAGTCCGACTGTCTACGGAAAAAATATTTGCGTCGGCGCTTGTAGACGAACCGAGGTTTAATGTATCATAGCGGAAGCTATAGCAAGCAACAAACAGCGTTGCCAACTGTAATTTTGTAAAAATCTGAAATAAGCTCCCAAAATATCCCGAGATTCCCCCTAAAAATCCCTATATTCCCATGTCATGGAATCCCTCGTATAGTCCCTCGTCATATTGTAAAAACTAAATGTGACATCAAATATGCATCTCAATAGGGTTTAAATACGAGCGGACAAACCCTGGATTTTTAGTAAAATTATTTATTAGTCAATTTTTCCAAAAAAATCGATTTCCAAAATTCGAACTTCCCTTTCTCTAAAAAAAAATCCCGCGATTGACTTTCTGAAATATCGGGATCTGAAAATTCCTGACTTGGCAACACTGGCAACAAATTCATGAAAAAACTTCCTAATGGGAGCAAATAACGCTCTCTGATTGGCTAAAATTTCGTTGCCCAGATGTAAATTCTTGTTCCCGGATGCAAAGCCGCGATGTTCAGGAGGAGCGGGAAATTACGAAAATAAGACACCTTTGAAAACATCGAGTCTTTCCAGTTTTAGCGTAGTTTAAGCAAAGACTAAAAGATGAAAAGCAACAAGAATACCTGGACTTTAATACAAAACAAGTTTTGGAACGGTAGAAATGTTTCGAAGTGCTTTTTTCGATGTTGAAGAGTGGTGTTTTCTTCGCGACTTCGAAAGTCCAAATTTTTATCATTTTCAACGATATAAAACGGAAATTCTTCAAATTCAGTTCACCACAGATAAATGTAAAACAGCCAGGAATTGGAATGTTGATAAAACTAGGATTGAATACTTGAAGTGTAGCCAAAAGGTGGAAAATAGAATTTTTTGTTTTACATGCAGATGTAACTCAAATTTGCCCCCATTAGCAAGCTTCAATTTGTCCCTTTCGTTTGCCTGAACTTTTCCTGCAAATACTGCAATGCCCACTCTATTATTTTATAATCTCTATGAGTCCTACTACTGTTTTCAAGCTATAGAGTAGAAAAGAATATCTGGCGTGTAAAATCAAAATTTGAAAGCAAAACTCTAACCTCCCTATTCAAAGACAATGTACAAAACGAACTGACTGTAACTGAAAAAAAGACAACGCAACTCAGAGATTTATCTATTGCCTTCCAGGAGTTCCGAAAGCAACGTAAAGTTGCAGAGGCCCTAATTTTTTTGATCAGCAATGTTCGTTATAATTTTGCTGTACGGATACTCGATTACTTGTAGTTGTAGCCAATTTAGTCAGTGATTGAAACAATTTTATTTGTTGCATGACATCAAAGACTAGAATGCATTGTATATTAAACGCCATGACAGCTTGTCAATTATTTAGAAAGGTTTTCTTTTTTACGTTTATTCATGTAATTGGAAACCTTGGGAAGTAAACGTTTCTAAGAGGAATTTCAGATTCAAATTTTAGCTAAATTGCTTAAAACACCGTTCTCGATTTCAATTCATATGAATAACGCATGACTTTCAATGAGTAGTTCTTGTGAACAAGGTCAAGGCAACCTGCATGCTGCACCCTTACCCGTGCTTCACCCGAACTGTTTGGGTAATGGGGGCAGCTGTCCCCGTGGTTCTGGCGCCCCTGTTGCATTTGGTCCTTCGCATAACAAGCCAAAAATCTTTAAAGAAGTATTGATAGGTAAATGGAAAACTCAGAACCATGTGAAAATCAATATTTATATATAGATAATATATTTTATAGACTATTTATATGTAGATTATATAGTATTGCAACGAAGAGACGTGAAACAACGACAAACTTTATTGCAAGAACTTAGTGGGATTCACAAGTTACAGTAAAGACTAAAGCTTTGAAAGTTTACAAATGCCTAGCATAAGAAATTTCAGGAAATCCGGTTTTGTGCTATTAAAGCTTATCCTATATACGGATAGTTAAACGCGGTACTAAATTCGCGTGCACGTCTTTAAAAGCCTTTTTCCACTAGCGAATGTTTTCGCGCGAAGCGACCTTTTTCCTTTGTCGGCATCCATTTTGCCACGTCTTGCTAACGTAATAAGTGATACCGACAAAGGGAAAAGGTCGCTTCCCGCGAGAAAATTCCCTGGTGGAAATTAAGGCCTTTAAAGACGTGCACGAATTTAGTACCGCGTTTAACTATCCGTAGGGTAAACTTTATATTAATAGGACAAAACCGGATTTCCTGAAATTATTTCTTATTGTAACTTGTGAATCCCACTAAGGTCTTGCAATAAAATTTGTCACGGTTGGGACCACGCAACGATTAGTTTACGATTGGGGGGGGGGGAAGGTTGGTGTTGAGATGGAGTAAGTGTCTGGGGGAATGTCCCCACCCCCACCAAGTCGAGAGTTACTTGCTCTGCTTTGAAAATCACCTAGCTAGGCATGTTTAAAACTGCGACACTGTAGACCAGCCCAAAAATCTTCGAAACTAATACATTTCACCTTTCAAAACTAACAATTTTTGTTAAGCCAATGGCAATATCACGTAAAAAAGGAGAAATGTATTCCAACCTTGCATGCAACGATAGTATAGCCAGCTGAGAACGCAATTATTAGCATTTGTTATAGTATTATATATTGTACCAATTTTCGAAACCAAACCCGAAAGAGCGTACGGGTGGCAGTGTCATGAAAATTATTTGGGGGCTAAAGAACCTCCGCTAACCCCCCTCCCCCGCTTGCACGGTCCCAGGTGGTAGGTTACCCTTAAAATTTGAGAAACAGTTTCAAATTAAAAAAAAAAATTGAAAATGATAACGTAAATAAATTAAATTTGAACATGCGTCGAACGATGCACCAGTTGCCTTGGTTTTTTAAAATGCGGATATCTTATAAAAGCCATTGTTTTACTGCCCACGTACAATCTTGTTCCAACTGCCTTTAGTTGTGATAGCGAGATTACGAAGTAATGTTGGAATCAGCAAATATTGATAACAAATATACAAAATAAAATTCCTTCAAATCTTCTTCCAGTTTCCGAAAAAAACCCAAGTGCTTTAATTTGCAAGCATTGGAATGATGCAGCCGTGGAAAGTGCTACTGGGCATCGCATTGTGCTCGGTAATATGGAGTGCGTCTCAAGTCGTGGTTTGGGGTTGGTCGCCTTCTCTTGGTAAGCTTTTGTCCATAGTAATTTTTCAAGTTGCTAAAATTCACTGTTGATTGGCATAACCCAGATTAAACTTTACTATAATTATATTATATTGAGTTTCTTAGTGATTCAAAGGGTTTCAATACTATCCGGTGGATAGAGCTATACGCGACCTTTGTATAACCAACCCCTGGTAGTTTATTCTCGGATATCTGAGACGCTAATGTTCTATAGAATGGCAGCTTAGAATGAAGGCCCAAGTTACACGATACCGGATTACTTTCGTAGCGGTTTGCTTTCCACATGAGAGATGAGTTTTGGTTACACGACACCGGATTGAACATTTAGATTACAATACAAAAACGACGACGAGTTTTGATAGAATATTTTATTGTGAACACTTAATGATATAGTTTCACAATATTGTATTCATTTTCATCAAATGACACTATCAATCTCGTTCCCCGAGCCTGCGATCCTCGGGAAGGAACGTGAGGCTCTGGGATAATCCGTTGCCGGAAGCCAGGAATCCTGGCTAAGATTAAACTGCGCATTCCATTTCAACAGCCAATCAGATTCCTCCCTGAAACGGATTATCCCAGAGCCTCACGTTCCTTCCCGAGGATCGCAGGCTCGGGGAGCGAAATTGATGACACCATATGCAGTGCTTGGGGCCTAGAACCAACAATAATGGTGCGCAAGCCTTGCCGATCGTACCCTTATATACCAGGTTTCTGGTTATTTTGACCATAAAAGACCGAAAGTCCAAGACTTTTTGGCTGTGTGCCCCAGTACCCTTACAGAGCGAAAAGTAATGAGAAAGAGGATGACCCGAAACAAGTACGCGCCCACCACATTATCGGTTCCAGGCAGCCCATACGCGGGGCATAAAAGGCATTAGACGCCCGCGCCTGGTTCCAACAATGGTTGGGACGAGCATATTTTGGACAAACTGAGCTGATAGAACAGTATAGGGTTTCCCTATACCGTTCAATAGTCATAATATAAGTTAAAATCAAGTGTTAGTTCTGCTAACAAACGTCTCTGACAGTGTTCGAAGCTCGACCGCAAACGTATATATTGAATCGTCTGTTTGTCTAACCCGAGTTTGCACCAGTATTAAGCTATATCATTGGACGATTACTGGCGGCTTTGGCACATGATTATTCTTTATTATTTCTACAAGCTCTTCGTAAGATTTCTTCTTCGGGTTTTCAGGTTGCATTAATCATCGCAAAAGTTTATATGACTTTGCTTCCATCACACTAAGAAAAATCGAGCGTTTAATTCTTGTCCTCGTCGTCGTCGATATTATAATTTGCTTCGAGATAATGGTCCATTCTTTTGATATGTCGCGGCCACTCTTCGGTTTCATCGTATTCTTCGATTTTCCCGTATGTCGCCATGCTAGTCCTCGTCGCCAATATAGTATGTTCTAAGTATATCGCATGGTTTTACATCAGTATGAATAAGCTAAGCTATCAATGCTATGTTTATATAGGATATAGTGGCCCCAGGGGGGGGGGGACTGGGAGACGAGTCCCCCGCCCACTCTCCTTCAAAACCACCTTCGAGATATGTTTAAAAATCCGTTGAAAAACTGGAGGGAGGGGGAGTTAACACCAATCCGATTTTAAGCTAAGAACAGAAAGCTACCATTGTGAATAGATAAACAGTTCTAGGAAAAGACATTAGGAAAATTGCATAGTTCAAAGTCGTAAAATGTGTTATTTTTCGTGTATTTTATATAATGTTATACTCATCTGATACCTGTAAAATCTCACTTTAAAATTAAATAGTTCAAAGTCTTAAAATGTACTATTTTTGTGTATTTTATGATGTTATAATCTTCTGAATTTTGTAAAATCTCTCCCCAAAATGCACGAAATAGCGTTTCATATGCTCTGAATTTCTAAATTTTTACGGGGAGCATGCCCCCGAATCCCCCTAGATTGTTCGCGCCTTCGGCGCTCAGCTTGTCCCCCCCCCCCCACATTCTAAACCCTGGCTACGCCACTGGGGTACATGCCCATTTAGTCACAAGACTACACCTCCTTTCATTTTCGCTTTCATTTTTAAACCATATACATCCAAAAGCGGAGAAACTTTGCATAATAACTATTTTACTTGGTTTCTAACACTAAGTCGCAGTGACTGGGAATTGTTTTCTTAATTCCTGTTGCGTATTTAGGTGTTGTTAACTGCTACACACTATAACTATTTTATACATTTCTTTTGTTAATTGTAGCGGTACGACTTGTTGGTGGCTCTCACGACGAAGGACGAGTGGAGGTTTACTATAATGGTACATGGGGAACAGTTTGTGATGACAGTTGGGACATCAGAGATGCTCGTGTTGTCTGCAGACAGCTTGGTTTTCCTGATGCTCAGTCTGCTTACGGGAGTGCTAATTTTGGTCAGGGGAATGGACAGATTTGGCTTGACGATGTTGGTTGTACAGGTTATGAGTCCTCGCTATTTTCATGCAGCCATAGTGGAGTGGGAAGTCACAACTGTCATCACAGTGAAGACGCGGGCGTACGTTGTAATGACACAGGTGAGAGTAAATGATAAAAATTAAAGGTGTTCAAGGCATTTGTAAAATTGCTGCAAGCAACTAAATTGTATTTAATCCCCTTGTCAGGTATTATTGGTAGTACGATGCACATACATGTAAAAATAAGTGACTTTTGTAGAGTTCGCAACAGATACTAAATCTTAAACTATGAAAACAACTTGTTGACGTTTTGAGTAAAGGCCCTTCTAAATTAACGCTTGTTTCTTGCAGTATGCAATCTTCTGATAATTATTTCGTTTTACTCGCTCGATGAGATACCCCCGCCCCCATCATGCGCTCCAAGGGGTGATTGACATAAGTACATACGTACATCCGGTGATAGAGATAAGTACTTGGCATTAGTATGTACGCACATCCGGTGATATAACGTACGCGCAGATGTAATATGGTGGAGATAAAACGCGGACGGACAGCGGACGACGGATGGCGGAGCATTTTATAAACACATGATTACTACCGCAACTTATTATAATACCCTA